GGGGGGGGGGGGTTGCAGACCAAGAAGTAATTTGTCTAAATTCTGGTCTCTGAATACCAGTTGCTGGGGAACACAGGCAATAGTGTTTGTTGTTTGTTTGTTTGTTTGTTTGTTTGTTTGTTTGTTTGTTTGTTTGTTTATTTATTTTTGTACTCATGTCCTCCTTAGGGGTGCACATTAGGATTTGATGAAGTGTTGCATTAACAAAAAGGCCGTTGGTCTTCTTCATTAAAGTTCTTATATTTTGATGAAAAGAGAGTAAACACCAACTTTTGGACTGGAGGCTCTTAGCATTACCTACTCGGTGGCAATATCAGTTGTTCTGTTTCTACATTCTATTTTTTTTCCATCTATACTAGTAGATGGAGAGAGTGGAAGACCAATTCAAAAACTTTCCTAGCAAGCAGTAAAAATAGTAATTAATCATTTCTTCAGAATTAGGTAAATTTTTTTAAATATGATTAATTTCTATAGAATGCCAAAAGACAAAGCATTCAACATTTATTTGAACTGCACCTCAAAAGAGTTCAACAGTATAAAGAAGAAAACATGGTGCTAATTGATCAAAGAGACTGTAGGCATTAACTCCTAATACTTATTTTTAAAATTAGTATTTATTTATTTTGTTTGTTTAAAATATTTTTAACTTGCCTTTCTCCTTAAAAGGGCCCAAGGTGGTACTGTAACAGTTTAGTGTTTTTAACAGCATTTAAAAATATAAAAAACCATAGTAAATAGGAAAGTGTTTTAAAGCTAATGAAAGATAAATAAAATAAATTAAGTGATAAAATGCTACAGATCAAGAAGTTACAAGGGAAGGTGTGCTAAGTGGCAACAAGTTCATCTGCCCAAAATATCTGAGGAGATGAGAAAACCCAATTCCTTGAAAAAGCAGAAGGGTATTATTTCATTAGCCTTCTGAGGGTCAGACCAAGCATTAAGGCAAAAGCCATATGCACCTGTAGAGAGTGAATGCCTTATCTAATAAAGTGGTCCCTCGCTTAGCGATGTTAATCCATGCAGCAAAAATCGCTGCTAAGCGATTTCATCACTAAGCGATTTTAAAAAGCCCATAGAAACACATTGAAACCCCTTCAATGCATTCCTATGGGCTTAAAACTAACCTTAAAGCGAAGATTCTCCATAGGGGTGGCCATTTTCGGTGCCTCTAAAGCAAGGCAAAACAGCGGGTGGCCATTTTGATACCGCCGATCAGCTGTGCGAAAATGGGGGCTTTGCGATGATCGCTTCTCCGCGATCATTGCAAAGCCAATTTTCCCCATAGGGACCATCGCTAAGCGATCGCTCTTGCAACGGCAAAAAGTCCATCGCAAAGCGATTTCATCGCTATACGGAGCGATCGCTAAGCGAGGCATCACTGTATTATGAAACAAGTCAGATTCTCTGCAATGTGAAGGCCTCACTGTATGAGATTCTGATTCCATGTCTAGAAGCAGTGCACCCTCAAGAGGAAAAAACTGTTCATTTTCACAGGATATTGCTTCAATCCACCTTTGACAAATTAGCTTGCTTTTGCTTTTCAACTGGTCAGCCAAGAGGCAGCACTGCTTTCTTTGCAAGTCTGTTTCAAGACCATAGCATTTGGAGATTTTCACAGCCTGAAGAGGTAATACTGCAAGAGGAGGATGTTTTGCCTGAACTTGTGACCTGACCCTCAGAAAAGCAAATAAAGGAGCACAACCTTCTAAAGGATATCCCCCCCCCCCAATGGAACTGTTTTCTCATTCATGGAATTTTTTAAAGGGAGTAATGACTAGATTGTTTCCCACTTGTACATATCTCATATATTCTCACCACTTTTTTCATCTATTTCCATCAAAAGTCCATTGAGAAAGAAAAGATGGAATACCTCAGCAGTATCTTTTGATTGGTTATGCTAGGATACCTCTGTCTAGAAGTAGACTCAGTCTTGGGGCTAAATGCATAATTGATTAAACAATGCACCCCTAAAAACTGCTGAGCCTTTTAGAAAGCTGCATTACCATGATCTCCATGGCACTCCAGCGGGAGGTTCCCCAGTACATTGCCATTCCCTGGTTTATCACATGTGTCATAGCTCGGACAATTTCTAAATCAGAAAACAAAAGAAAACAATAATGAGACTTGAGAACAGATAACTGAGCTGTACACAGTAATTATTGTATAATCATCATGAGAGCAGTGAATCACATACATAGCCCATATGTCTGTATTAATTTACATCTGACTATTCTCCGTTTGTCCATGGATAGACATGACTGGAGACTGGAAGCCTATTTCGTTACGTAACCAACACTTTTATGGCTTATTCATTCATTCATTCATTCATTCATTCATTCATTCATTCATTCATTCATTCATTCATTCAATTACTTACTTTTAGTTGTATTTGCATGCCACATTCCTTTAAGATCATGGCTGTGTACACAGTCTTTCTCCCTCCATTTTATCCTCATAAGTCTGTGAGGTATATTAGGCTTGAATATGGAACCATACAGTTCTAGAGTGTTACTAGAGGGAGGGACTGGTAAACCACAGTATCTTTATAATGAGAAAACTATAGCAAGGCCTGCCGTAAGTTGGAATCAATGTGGTGGCACACTATTATTATTAATGTCATCCTTCAGTCCAATATGATTGGATCACACAAGCAGCATTCTGCAACATCTGAAAATTCCAGACACTCTTGACCGAGGTGTAGGATTTCACCAAAGCTGTAATGAATAGTGATTGGGAGATATCACTATTGTATACCCGTAATATTGTCTTCAAACCACAGTCTCAGAACTAGGCAGTAAACAACAGAACAACAGCTACTGTATTTGCAAAATACAAGAAGATGTTAATCTATGTAGATCAGTGACAACAATGCCAGAAAAATAAAAAGGAATAAGAATATAAAATAATGAAACAATCCCATGATGGTACCATGAGAGGCTATTATGTATAATTGTCTGCTTCTCGCCAATCATGGGGTTGATTTTCAGAGAGATGGCTCCATCACCATTAAGTGGTAGATAGACAGTCTGTACCCCTTGTCTATCTTTGCAACCTGCGTTGCCACTGAATTCAACTTCTCAAGAAAATGGGTGGCAGATTTTTCTGTTTGTGAAGATGTGAGATGATAAGCAACCCTCGTCTTCATACCCACTGCCTACAGCTTGGCAACAGAACCCCCCACAGATTGAGCAAACACTACACCTTTGTTTTTACTCAGAACAAAAGAATATCATCATCACAAAGATGGAACATTGCCAAAGCCATAATGCCAAATTATAGTTTCCCTTAGTTTGTGTATGTGTATGAAATGTTTACTTAATTTTGGTGCATGGGAAGAGAATCAACACAAAATTCTGTGACTCAAATACTTTGCTCTAAGCCAAGGGTGGGCAATTAATTTCTATAGGGGGGGCACATGAAAAATCTGAACTGTGTTTGGGGGCCGAACCAACTTTGCTTAAAAATAAATTGAAACAGTGATGTTATGATTGTTTTTATTTTAAACTTGTTAATCTTCACAAATACTAAAGAGGTTTTTTGCAATATGTTAAAGATAAGCAACTGATCAACTTTAGACAAAAAGCTATAACTGGTTTTGATGTTCAAAACTGTCCACGGCCCAGGCAGGAGTGGCTCGTGGGCCGTATGTGGCCCTTGGGCCGCGCTATGCCCAGGTCTGCTCTAAGCAAACCTCACAGAACATCTGTTCTTGAGATTAATATATATATTAACATTTAAAAACACAAGAGGGCGGCATTGTAGAAAAAGAGATACAAGAATCCTAAGAATCAGCTTCTCAAGTGAGAGGCACTTCACTGAAGACCAAATTATACCAGGGTTGCATTAGCTGAGCTTTTGCATAATTCCCATTTGTTTGGGCCTAGGGGAGGGTTTGAGGATATATGAAGCTACTGAAGCTAAGCAGGCTCTGTCCAGCCATTGCCTGCATGAGAGAATGCTTTAGAACCTGTAGATGCCATCCGTGATCCCCAGAAGAAAGAAACTATGTAACATGAACGGATTTCAGTGGGTCAATTCACACAGTCATTGAGCTAGATTTGGGATGGACAGAATGGACTCTGTATTCATTTCATCAATATTAAGTCTGTTCCATCCTAATTCAAGCTGCATATAAGCAATTCTTTAAAGAGGACAAAACAAAGGTACCTATAAATACATGAAGTGGTTCATGAATTCATTGCCTTTTAATTTTGTAATTAATAGTTTGAGGCAGCAGCCACCACATGGTTTGAAATTAGACCAAGGAGTCTCTTGGGAGGGGCAGGGCCCCATAATGTCGCAAAAAGGGTGTGTGTGTGGGGGAAGATGACTATGTCATTCCTATGTGGCAGCAGAGATCTTTTCTCCCATGCAAAGTCGCTATGAAGACTACACAAATGAAAAAATAGCCCCTGGGCTACCCTGAAGCATTGGTTGGTTGTTATTATGTGACACAGTCAAGTTGCTTTCAACTTAATGGTAACCTTAATAAGGTTTGCAAGGTATGCCTGAGAAATTCTTTACCAAGGTGCAATGCTCAAGGAAAACCCGTGAGTTTCCATGCTGAAGAGGGATTTGAACCCAGGTTTCCAGGGTCTTAGCTCAACACTCTGTCCACTATATTGTACTGGCTTCCAGGATTAGTTAGCAGAGTATATTTGGAATCTTTCCCCACCACAAGTACAAGGAACGATTTCCAGAAAAGAATTATCAATCTGCAAAACATCAGTTTGATAGCTGCAGATCATCATTCTGGCTGGGGAGGATTCTCGCAGTTGTAATCCCAAGAAATTTCTTTTTTCCATACTTTGGGGTGAGGACTAGCCGCATGGAATTTCCCCTGCAAGAATTCCAAATTCCACTGATGAGTTCTTGATTCGACAGAAGAATTTCAGTGCTTCTCTCATCTTTCCATCTTCATTCTCACCTGCACTTCACGCCCATGAGATCTCTTGATTTTACCGAATAATCATAGTTGCAAATTTATCATTTGGTTGCTATAGGAAACAATACCTATTGCTTAATAGGATCGCAGTGGCTCTTTGTGCCTGAAATACAGCTACATGGTCTTGACTACAGCTTTAGTTTGGAAAAAAATGTAGAAAAATCAGACTGAAAGGGAGATTTATCCCTGATGTGCACCATAAGGTCAAAACCTGTTGCATCTGTGCATATGTGCAAATAAGCAGTTCAGAGTATTTTGAACTGCACAGTTGCCATGGAAATGCCACACACTGTAGCAATAACTTACCACAATAGTTCCTAGTGGCCTGATCCTTCCCACTGATTGCCTGTTCCAGAGTAAGACTACGTACAATTGCTGTTTTAATATCTGAGCTTCCAAAAGAGTCCCAAATCACTGCTTGTTGCCATGGTCAGGTCTTTGTGGCATAAGAAAAAGGAAACATGAAAGAGCTGTCCACAACAACTGGAGAACATGAAGACCCCACCTCACCCTGCCACAAGCACAAAAAAGATTTTTTCAGAAGAGAAGAGTCACCAATATTTCTTTCCTTAGCAAAGTGGTAGAGAGGGTGGTGGCTGACCAGCTCCATGCCCTTTTGGATGCCATTTCGTCCCTTCAGCTCTGTCTGGAGGCCGTATTGAAATGGATGCAGGTGAATAGTCTGAGGCTGAACCCGGACAAGATGGAGGTCCTGAGGGTGGGTGGCCCTGACATTGATGGTTTGGGAAACTCCCTCTCCTTTGCAAGGGTGACTCCTTCCCCACGAAGAGTGGGGTTCGCAGCTTGGGGGTCCACCTGAATCTGGCACTTACCATGGAAACCCAGGTAGCGTTAGTGTTCTGCACCGCCTACTTCCATCTTTGGCGGATTGCCCAGCTGCGTTCCTATCTTGATGTGGGGCCCCTCACCACTCTGGTCCATGCGCTTGTAGTCTCGAGATTAGACTACTGTAATGAGCTCTACGTGGGGCTACCTTTGAGATTGATGCGGAAGCTTCAAATGGTGCAGAACACGGCGGCCAGACTTCTTACTGGAATGAGAAAACATCAGCATATCTCCCCCAATCTGGCTACCCTGCATTGGCTGCCAATTCATTTCTGCATTGATTTCAAAGTATTAATGATGACATATAAAGCCCTAAATGGTTTAGGACCTCGATATCTAGCGGAACGCCTCCTCCCACCTAAATCTACCTGAATCACTCGCTTTAGCCAGGATGGGTGGATGAGGGGCCTAACGCCGAGGGATCCCGGAGAGAAAGAACAAAAAATCGGGCCTTCTTGGCAGTGGCTCCTTGTCTCTGGAACAGTCTACCCTCAGAAATTTGTGTAGCTCCCTCGCTGGGTGTTAAAGATCAAACTCAAAACCTGGCTCTTTAGGTAGACCTTCCCTTTAGGACCTCGATATCTAGCGGAACACCTTCTCCCACCTAAATCTACCTGAATCATTCGCTTTAGACAGGATGGGTGGATGAAGGGCCTAACGCCGAGGGACCGTGGAGAGAAAGAAGAAGAAATCAGGCCTTCTTGGCAGCGGCTCCTTGTCTCTGTAACAGTCTACCCTCAGAAATTTGTGTGGCTCCCTCACTGGGTGTTAAAGATCAAACTCAAGACCTGGCTCTTTAGGTAGACCTTCCCTCCTGTCATTACCTAATTTATTTCTTGCCATCTTGAATTGTATTAATACTATTGTTTTATTTTATACTGTTATTATTTGAATTTGTGTTAGCCGCCAGAGTAGACTTCGGTCTAGATGAGTGGGGAATCAATCAATCAATCAATCAATCAATCAATCAATCAATCAATCAATCAATCAATCAATCAATCAATCAATCAATCAATCAAACAAACAAACAAACAAACAAACAAACAAACAAACAAACAAACAAACAAACAAACAAACAAAAAGGGTCTACATAAAGAGATTGGCACTATATACTTTGTTGGGGTGGGGAGTGGGGGGTGGAGAACAAGTATTTACCCACCCACCCCATTGTTACAATCCACAGGTGAGCTGCACTAAACAAAAACTCAGTTTTTACAGGATCTGTGCTCAGGTATATAGCCTGCATAAGGGCAGGAACCCTTCCTCTTCAGACCTACTGCTAAACTGTGATGAATGTG